GCCGGTACGCCAATTTTTTTGTTTTTTTTTCCCAACCGGTTGACCCCCCCCCCCCCCCCTCCCTCTCCCCCGCCCTATTCACGCAAAAAAGGGAGTGGAACCTCGAGGGGACAAGAGGGGTAGGAGCCAGGTGTTTCGCCATCATCTTCGGTGCGGCGAAGCGCTCGTTGTCTCTGTCGCTTGTCCTGATGGTGTGCATGGGGTACGGCGTGGTGCGGCCTTCCCTCGGGCGCGACGTGCACAAGATCATGGCCATGGCCCTCATCTACTTCCTCTCCTCGGCGGTAAGCCTGAAACCGTTTCCTCCTCGGCGATACAGGAGTTAGTCGTTGTCCTCTCCTCCGCGGTGCAGTATGCACATGTCTCAAATGCTCTCCTCGCTGTTGGTTTTAATCCTTGCCTCGGTGGTAAGTCTAATATAGTATAGTATAGAACCCCGCTCACTGCGCGGTAGAGTTAGTCTTAGTATATATTAATGCAATCCTCCGCGGTAAGTGTGATAACGTTCCTCGGCGGTAAGCTTTATTCCTCTCCTTGGCGGTAAGGCTAAAACCATCTCCATAACGGTAAGTCTTAATCCTCTCCTCCATGGTACCAACGGTCAAAGTCTTCGTCCATTCCTCGGCGGTAGGTCTAAACCCTCTCCTGGCGGTATGTAAGTTCAAGCCACGCGTATACTTTCATTTTTCTCCTTGGCGGTAAGGCTAAAACCATCTCCATAACGGTAAGTCTTAATCCTCTCCTCCATGGTACCAACGGTCAAAGTCTTCGTCCATTCCTCGGCGGTAGGTCTAAACCCTCTCCTGGCGGTATGTAAGTTCAAGCCACGCGTATACTTTCATTTTTCGTGGTGCTCTCGCAGCGCACACGCTTGGTCTGAGGACTGGTCTTGCATGTTTGTGTGCGTGTGTTTTTTGTGTCTCGCCCTGCTCTATATTACGTCGGTAGCGACACCGTCTTGTGTTTTGCTTCTCTCTCATCCCTCCCCCCAGCTATGGGTGGCGTTTCGAGCTAGCGTGGACGTCGGGGACAAGGACTTCGCCACTCGAGCAGGCGTTAACGCGGCGGCGATGTTGGTTTTCGTCAATGCGACCATCATGGTTATCTTCTTCATGTGGACGATCCAGGTGCGCTTTTAACCTTGGGCGAAAGAAAGCCTCGGCGGTGCCCCCCCCCCCCCCCCCCCCCCTTTAGAGTCTGACAGTTGTTGGTGTTGGTGTTGTTGTTGTTGTTGTTGTTGTTGTTGTCTTCACATTAAAAACCGTTCCGATCTCTCTCTACCCAGTACCTTCGTATGTCCGTACTGATCCAACACTCGACGCGATCGATTCCCGTGGTCACAGGTTAACTTACCCTAAAAAGGTACACTCAAATAAACTGGCCCCGAGGGGTCCGCAAGTCAATAGAAATCAACGACAGATATTCTGGGATCCTCCGCTCCCTCTTCACGCTATGCGGGGTATCAACTGAGATTAGCAGTCACTATCTATCATGGGCCGGAGAGAAACAGGCACACTCCCTTGGTTCAATCTTGGTACTTCACAACGCAAGCAGAGACAAGTCCATTTGGCACAGAAAAAGAGAGAAAAAAAGAGAGAAAAAAAAAAAAAAAGAGAAAAAAAAGGAGAAAAAAAAAAATGGAAACCGTAAGGAGAAGAGAAAATAAATGAAAATAAAATGAAAAAATGAAAAAAAGGGCGAGGACAAAGAGGGACCAGGCCGAAAAATAACAGGAAGTATGAGGCAGAACAAGGCACACGGTGGAGAGACCACTTACGAACAAGCAAACACGCAAACATGGCCACCAACCAGCGATACATTGTAATGGTACGAAATCACTACTACTGGGGGGTTGGTGCAATGGTGCAGCGTTGGGGGGGGGGGAATTGGCGAAAAGAAATTCAATCCGGCACGTGTCGTGCCACTCGGTCCGTCTCTTCTCGTTTGCTTTCTTCCCTTGCCGTCTCGTCCGTCTCCTGCCCCCCTCCCGCCCCATTGGTTGTTGGCTTGTGGTTTCGTTTGAGCGCTCGTTGTCGGCTGGCCTCTTCTTCCTTCTCGTGCCAGGAGGTCATGAACCTCTCAGCTCCCTGCAGCACCGCCGCATGCCAGGGTACTCCCCCCTCCACCTTCGCGGCTTCCGTCCACCTTGACTTCGGTGCCGTGTCTTTCGGTACGAGAATTCCGAGACAACTTGGGTCGGTTTTCGTAGATCCGTGGTCAGCCCCGAAGGCCTTCAGGTCGTCGAGCACACACTTCGGCCAGTTCTGTTCCTGTCCCCCCCTACGTGGCTTCTCCCCCCCCGCCAGCTCGCCGAGCATCAGTCGTTTCGGGAGTCGCCCGTCCGGCTGCCTTGCCAGTGCTCCTGCGAACAGTAGGCGTCGTTGTCGGATCGTGGCTTCAACGCTCTGGCATTCGACCCTCTTCAGCGTCTGGGCGTACGAGAGCTGCCGGTAGGTGTCTGTCTTGCGCTTGTACCCGATAACTCGAAGGAGCAGTCGGTGGTGTGTCGACCGCAGCGTCTGATAGTGGCCGCTGAGTGGTGACCATGTCATGCAGCCGTACAGCAGTGCCTCCATCGCCTCCGCCTGGAGGAGGCGGATCTTGAGTCGGAATGGCGCTTTCGGTCTGTCGAAGAGCTCCTGGCCATATCGCCTGAGGCACGCCCACGCTCCTCTGCTCCTGTAGCTGATCTCCCGGGTGAGGTCGCCATGTTCGTTGACGAGGCCACCGAGGTACCGGAACTCGGTCGTCTGGGCGTATTTCTGTCCCGCGGCTTCGATAGTCAGAAGTGGAGGAGGAGGCGGGGGGGACTGTGATGTTGCAGTCGGCTTGTCCTTCGCGCGCATCAGGAGCGTCTCCGTCTTCTTCTCCGACACCGTTAGCCCGAACTCTCCGAACACCTCAACGATGATGGTCATCATTCTCGCCAGTCCTTCTGCAGACCTCGATACGACGCCGGCATCATCGGCATACAGCACCCCCCATACTGCCCTCCGTACTCGGTCAAGGGGTGTCTCCTCCCCCCCCCCCGCTTCCGTCTTCCCCTCCTCCAAGCACACCAGATTCCGCAGAACAACATCATCCTCGCTGAATCGGATAACGACGACCTCGAGGACCTCGGCGAAGAAGATGTTGAACAGCAGTGGGGATAGCACACATCCTTGTCGCACACCCTGTGTGACGAAGAACCAGTCCGATAGTTCTCCGTCGTCCATGCGCACCCGGGCCCGCATTCCATCGTGGAATTGGCGGATGACGGCGATCATCTCATCAGGAATCCCGGCCCTGGCCAGCACCTTCCATAGAATCTCTCGGTCCACCGAATCATAAGCCTTCTTCAAGTCGACGAAGCACATGTAGAGCGGTATTTTCTTTCTCCGCCCCAGCTCCTGGAGGCGGCGCACGACAAACAGCATGTCGACGGTGGATCGCCCGGGTCGAAATCCGCACTGTTCCTCCGGGAGGATGTTGTTGGCTTCGCAGAAGGCGCTTAGACGGTTGGTGATGATCTTGATGGGAACCTTGCCTACGTGAGATAGTAGCGAAATCCCTCTGTAGTTGTTACAGTTGGACCGGTCACCCTTCTTGTACAGCACCTTGATGGTTGCGTCCTTCCACTCTTGGGGGATATCTCCTCCGTTCCACACCTTGACGAGGATGGTATGGAGGTGTCTCAGGACAACGGGTTCGTCGTCATCGATCTTGAGCAATTCGGCAGGGAGGGAGTCATGGCCGGGTGCCTTCCAGTTCTTGAGGCCTTTCGCTGCCCGTGCCACCTCCTCGAGGTCTGGCACCTCTCCCAACCGTTGAGTGTCACGTGTCGCTGGCCGCTGCGTCACTCGTTCGATGATGTCTGGGTTCAGGGTGGGGGATTTGGTGTTGAGTAGGGTGCTGAAGAATCTCGCCCACCTTTGGAGGATGTCGTCCCTGTTCCGGAGCAACACGCCGTTCTCATCCGCGACGAACTGCTGTCCCCCCGCCTGTCTCCCGCTGAGGCCCACTGATCTCTTGAGGTGTTGGTACAGTCCTCTCATGTCGCGATCTTTGTAGATTGCTTCGAGTTCAGTCACATATCCGTCCAGGTGGGCATAAATGCCCGTTTCGACTGCTGTAGCCACTCCCTTACACGCTGCTTTGAGAGTTCTCCACGTTGCTGGGTTCCAGTTGCCCCTCATCGCCCGGCGCGCTTCCCGCCGTTTGGTAAGGGCCTCCTCCAGCACTGCTCTCGTCTCTGGGTTCTCACACCACTCCTGCGTGCGGCGTCTCCGCGGTTCCTCCCCTAGGGTCGTCCGCGCTGCTTCGAGGAGAGCATTGGTAAAGTCGGTCGCCAATTCCGCGGCGGTGATTGTTCGCTCATCCAGTCGTGTGTCGAGGTTGAGGAGGAACCGATCAGTCACCGCACCCCGTGCTGCTTCGAACTGCAATTCCCGTCGGTTGAATTGTTGCTGTTTCGGTTTAGTCCAGACTGCACGGTTGTGGGCAAGCCTGCCACCGAGGTTGACGGTGGCTACTACCATGTTGTGGTCTGAGTCTGCTTTGACTGGGCGAACCGGCTGGGGGGTGACAACCACGTTAGAAACTCGGCCGTGATGTGCCTGCCTTGTCAGGATGTAGTCAAGTCGCTTGCAATCGTTTCCCGACACACCGTTGTATGTGTGCCATATTCCGCCCTTGCGTGTCTCGAAGAACGTGTTCGTGAGAGCTAACCTGTTTTCCGTGGCGAAATTCAACAGCAGCATGCCATTGTCGTTGAGCTCATCACGCCCGTACATTCCTATTACCCTTCCGTCCCCTCCGTCCAACCAATCTCCCGTCCGCGCGTTGGCATCCAATAGAACATACACATATTCTTTGGAAGGGATCCTCCGCACGAGACTGTCAAGTTTTCCCCAGAACGCGCGCTTGCTGTCGGCGGTTGAAGGTTCGGTTGGAGCATACGCGGCTACGAAGTTGACCGCTCCACGGTGGCCTGCCAACAGAAACCTCATGGCCATAAGGCGTTCGTCGATAAACTCCGTAGTGAACGTGGATGTCTTGCACAGTGACTCTTTGACGGCTATCCCCACACCATGGACTCCACCAGTCTCCGTGCCACAGCAGAACACCCGGAAACCCGCTGCTGCAAATTCCGTTCGACCTGCCCTCCGTGTCTCCTGCATTCCTACCACCGATACGTTTTGTCTCGCTGCCTCGTGTAGAATGCTGTAGGCTCGCCCGTATCCATTGGCCCCGTTTACAGCCAAAGTCCGCACATTCCAGGTTGCTACCCTAAGAAGTTGACCCTGCTGTCTCTTTCGCGCGGCGCGCGCTGCTCTCTTAGCTAGCCTACGCGCCGCCCGACCCCTCCTTCTCCTCCATCTCCCCCTCTTTTTTTGTTTTTTTGCTATTTTTTTGCGAACACTCGGGCTAATGTAACAGTTATCCCGGTTCTTGCCTTGTTTCCCATAGAGTTGTCTTCTTGTCCCGGAGCGGTGTGGCCTTCCATCTCTGGACTCTCTCCTTTCCTCTCTCTGGGGCATACCCCCACGGCGTGCGGTCACTCCGCCACCCTCACCGTGCTCTCTGCTGCTGCATAACCCCGGTGTCCAAGCCGGGGCGTTAGGATCCAGCCTCATTTTGCAGCTACCAAAGCTGGCGGTTCACGAGCTACCCCGATCTCACGACAGCAGTAACTCCCAACCGCCAAACTCAGGATCCCCCTCTCAACAGTGCTAGGGACCGTATATCCGTCTTTGCTGGGTGGTCTTTCGAGGTCTAGATCCACTTGCGGAACCTCGGCCTACCCCAGGGACGGGGGGGGCAGGCCGGGGAGGAAGATCTTGGTTGCAATCGCCCTCGGTCGTAGGCGGCCGGGTGGGCGTTCGTATCAATCTCCATGTTACGCATGTACTCGAGAAATGTGATCGTAGCCGTGGTGTTCTTTGGCGGGTTTGTGGGACGTTCGCGCCCCCAAGTCCCGCATGATGTTTGTTTGACGGAATGCACAAGTGTACCGCATCGGACATGACGCCGTTCACTCATGATTCGTTACGCTCGATGACCGACTGATTCCTTTTTGCGCTTGGAGGCACTCCGCTCTTCCGCGGTCCATCAGGTTAGGTACCAACTCGGGCATATTGCATGCGACCGGCCCCGTCCGAAATAGGCTAGCAGGTAGTGAGGCAAACGGCGGTGGGTCTTGTGCACACCCGCGTGCCCCATATCATCTACACACACTGTTATATATCTTCATGCACTTTCTGCATTGTGTCCTACCATTTGGTTTTTGTTTTCCTTTTTGTCCGGGGTATACAGTATGTATGATGACACGATGCCATGTCGACAACGATGGCGCGACGGCTATATTCACCTATCTCCCGTTGCACTCTCTGGCTGTATTGTGGCTTATTTTTATTTTCCTTTTCTCGGGGTGTATTATGACACGGTGACAACAATTGTCGACGGCGATGGCATCGGCGGGGGGCAGGCAATCGTCGGAGTCATCCAGCACCTGCAAGTCAGGGGCCAGACGGCGAAGCTCGCGCTGTACGTGTACTTCCGGAGGGTGCTCGTGGGCAGCGCCATATTCGGCGTGGTGTGGGCGGTCTACGGTGTCGTCCGCTCCTCGGAAGTGGAGGAGGTGAGGGATTACTACAATGCTGTGTGACAAAGGCCCCTCTTATATAGGAGCCCCCTCTTATCCCGGATTAAGACGGCCTCGGAAGTCGAGGACGTGAGGGATTACTACAATGCTGTGTGACAAAGGCCCCTCTTATATAGGAGCCCCCCCCTTATCCCGGAATAAGACGGTGTACCCAACTCTACTACTACTATGGTGGGTCGAGTCCGCGACAACCGATTTCGACCCTCTTTCATCGGAGCCCCCTTCTTACTTCTATTAGGAAGTACCCTTGTTATATCGGAGCTACGACTGTGCGTGCATGTGCTGAAATCGTTGAGGAATAAAGGTGGAGCTCGTGGTGCGGAAAAGGTAGAGGTCTTCAAGGCACGGGTATCTTGATGGTCGTTTCTAACCAACCTTAAGGCACGTTCGAAGTGGCAGAGCGGGGGGGGGGGGACCTCGTATTGGACTCTCGATTGTCGGGGGGGGGATTGCTTCATTTTACTGTTTGGGGAAAAGCTTTACTTTTTTTGCGCGTAGTATTGTACGGATGCAATGGTCTAACGACTACGGCATGTGTACACGGCTATGAGTACACCTAAGGGGATGATCGCACCACGTTGTGTTGTTGAATTAGTCGAGCACCCTCGAGGAAATTACAATACACAGCAGTGCTTAGCACTGTCTCTAGAAGTGAAAGCACCGCAAACTAATCAAACCGTTTGCACTGTCATCGGTATGCAAAGAAGTAAGCACACGATACCGAACAGCCTTAGGCGCACCCTCCATTCGACTCGCCGAACACCAGAAGGCGCTTCGCGCTTGGTGATGTAGAGCCTGGTCCGGCGAGAACCCGGCGCGCTCCGTCCGGACTTTGTAGAGATGCGAAGTCAATGGCCTAACGACTACAAGGCATGCACGACAATGAGTATGAGTACCCCCCCCCCCCTCCTAAGAAGGGGCACCAACGGTGCCTCGAAGAACACTCTCTCGGAAATGGTGTTTTCTTGGGACATGATATTGTCCTGATTGTGTAGCGGAGGTTCTGTCAACGCAGGAAAAATCGAGACCGTGGTATGTAGATACAACAAGTTGTTGTCCACTGCAGCGGTGCTGTACAACGGTGTTTTCCTCCTCTCTTCCATTTTTTGTCCAGCTTGTCTTCGCTCTTCTTTTTTTTTTTTCGTGGAGATGACGGCGCAACCCTACGTTATCCTCTGACAAGGGAGGTTGTCGGCGTTGGTATGTATTGATGTGTGTTTTGACCGCTTGTTTTTTTTTTTTTTTGCTCAGGAGCGGCATTGGGAAAGCTACTGGACGGTTGACGCAATCTGGGAGGTGCTCTACTTGGCGGTGTTGGTCGCAGTCTGTTTCCTGCTCAGGCCTTCGATGAACTCTCAAAGGTGCGGCGAGTTTCTCGGGGAGCGTGGGAGTGCCTTCGCTGCTGCTGCTGCTGCTGCTGCTGCTGCTGCTGCTGCTTGTGGCTGATGTTGTTGTTGCGGCCGTCAATTTTTGGTGACAGCAGTGGGCGCGCTGCCGATCTCGAAACGAGTTGATTATTCTACCGTGGTGGCGGGTTTCTGTCTAGGTTACCGGTACGAGACTTGCCTTCATCGGCGACATGCTATCATAGTACTCTGTTGAGGAAAGAGGCCGGTACTTGTGATATCACTTTGGAATGCATGGCTTAACGTTTGTTCTGGGCACGTGAAAAAGATATTTCGTCTGAGTGCCGATTCCCACGCCGAATCACCCAAACAAAACACCTGACAAGGCTAAAAAGAATACGCCTCCAGTCATGACACTTTCGCAGCAGTCATTTTTTTTGTTCATGAGCGGTGTGCTAGACAACCCATCGTCGTGTGGGTGGGTGTACTGTACCCTCTCTCGCTGAACGGGCGACAGTTGCCGTTTCCTTGCGGTGAAGTTTCCTGATTGTGAAGAAGCACGTTATTTTAGCGCGTAACTCGGGGAGGGTGCGCCCGAGCAGACGCTGTACAAATCTGCCCCACCAAGAAGCGTCCGAACGACGTACTATATCGCGTGTTCGCATCTGTACAAGTTTTGAATGAAAACTCGTGCACCCACGGAGCGTATGTACGAGGGGGGCGCTTTTGTACGCACACAGAGACTTCCGTCAAGCAAGGGAACCAGTTGTCGTACTCCCGAGAGAAGTCCAACCGAAAGAAGAGAGCATGGCGAGAGGGCAGGATGATGATGGTGGGTGGCAAGAAACCCTGACGGAGGGTATTTGCATGCCGTTTCGGCGACGTTTTTTTTGTTTCCAGGTTTTCCTATGCGGCTCTGCCTACTCTCAGCGGCAAGGGCGGTGACGAAGACGGGGGCGACATCCTGCTGCAGTCTATCGACGACGACGCCGAGTTCGGTGGTAGCCTGGATGAGGTGCGGTTGCGCTGCTGTTTGGTGGTAGTGGTGGTGGTGCTGCTGCTGCTGCTGCTGCTGCTGCTGCTGCTGCTGCTGTTGGTGGTATTGCTTTTGTAGGTGTTGTCCTCGTCGTCGTCGTTGTCGCTGTTATTGCTGTTGGCGTTTGATGTGCTCGTAGTTTCTTCCGGAAAGAAGTTGAAAACTAGTCTAATGTAATAGCCGGTTTCACCCCTGACCGACCCTCCACACCCCTTCTTCCCGATCCTTTGCGCGCATCCTCGGGACGACCGCATTGGCCCCTCTTTTTTTGTTTTCTTTCTTTTCAGGGTGAGGACAAAGCGGACGAGTTCAATGGCGCCATCCCCGGCCGAAAGATGGCACCCAAGCCCATCCCCAAGAAAGAAAACCAAGATTAACAGCGGAAGCACCACAGAGTGACTTAACCCCTTTCAAAATGGAGTTTGATGGGGGTACTCATTGTCGTGCATGCCGGGTCGTTAGACCATTGACCTCGCATCCCTACAAAGCCGGGAAGGAGCACGCCGGGTTCTCACCGGACAGGCTCTCATATCACCAAGCGCGAAGCGCCGTGAGGTATTCGGCGAGTCCCATGTAGGGTGCGCTGCTTGTGCTTTCTTCCTTGCGTGCGGATGACAGCTGTGAACGAGCCCTGTGTAACTGCCTCGAGGATGCTTGGCCATTTTAACACAACTTGGTTCGATCATCCATCCCCTTTTACGCGGAATGAGGGTTCTCGACCCCGCACGACATTATCTACTCGACCACCATTATGATTGATGGGGGGGGAGGGGGTCTTGTGCGTTGCCACTGACAGGAAGTTTTTTTCTACAGAGGCAGATCGTATATGTACGTATCTAAACGGACGGTAGAAATTGCGGGGAGCTTGTCGCTGTCCAGTGGGATCGCGAAAATCTTCTTCTCTTGTTCGTAAACGTTGTTGTATAGGCGGCGGTTTGGCTCGCTGTTGGCTTTGGTTGGGAGGGCCATCGGCGTGAGGTTCTTGAGACGTTGATTCCTTTGCACTGCCTTATCGGTAACGTTAGTTTCGAGTCGGGAAGCGAATTTTATCTCGCTGGTGGAGAATAATTGCGAACAATTTCCCCGCATCGATGTGTCCACAGGCGTGAACGGTGTTAGGTTGACTACGGGTGGGTGGCGATGCCATGGACTGTTCTCTTTCGACTGATAAATAATGGACTGGTGGATGTCTCTGCCCTCTGTAGCCGATTTCGACATGGATTGGGCGCGTCGGCTGCCGCTGCTTGACCAGCGGATTGGGTTTGATTATTGGCATGTAATTTTTTTTTTCATGGAGCTATTTTTATGGATAATGTTATGAAGTTCTTGTAGCATTTTTTTTGTGTTTCAGTACATCCTATCTCTCACTTACGACTTGTTTTATTTACTTGTCGCTGTTTGACGGAAGTGGTATGTAGTGGTGTATGCTTACCTCTACCCGTGGTGTGATGGGTTCGATTCGCACGGCCTGCTGGTACATGGTATGTGTGCTGCGTGCGGGGTTTGTGCTTGGATATAATACAAGAGGAAGTGCTGTGGACTTCTTCGGAGTGGATGGGACCAGAGGTTTTGCGGTGCGTGTCCGCGGCGCCGTGTCTTGTTGCTCCTTTCACGCGGGTTCTCGCAAAAAGGCAGGCGTTTTCTGGGTCGAGCCCTCTGTTCATCTGCCTTGGCCTGTAGCACGGCGATCGCCGTGCTAGACTACGTGTCATGGGTATCGTACGGTGTCGCCTCTGTTCTTCCTGCTGAGAGTGACTGTAGACTAGATGGAACATGACATATATACGCATATTTTCGGCCGCACAACCATGGTCTTACCTGGCCCAGCAATTAAAATGATTATTGGCGCGAAGCGCCAAAAATGGAATGAGGCGTTTCGGCGCGCGAAGCGCGCAATGTTTTGCCTCAGTAGGGCGCTTTTATGGCGCTATTCTTTCGACGATTGGGGTGGCAAAATCAACAGTTGGGCTGCCCGACCTCGTCAAAGGGCATAGGACTTGCTGTGGGCATCTCTCTGGGTTCATTTCGGGGCGTTTTAGATACAATTTCGAAGAGTATTCACGCCTGCCTGGCAAGAGACTTGTTGAGGTTTTTATTTTTCTTCGCGTTGTAAACCACCACCCCTGTACCATCTACCATCCATACCAGTTCCAAGTTACGCGGGCGCCTTCCGTGGTCACAAGCCGACTGCCCAAAAAGGGTGCACAATTCTCAATCACCGAAAACAGAAAAACAAGGGGTCCCTGAAATCACAAAAAAAAAAGCGAAAATAAAAGAGCACACAACAAAGCGTGAAGACATCAAAACCAAAACGTCCCAGGCAAACACTAGTCGGCCATCGCTGGTGACCAAACGGGGATAAAGGAGACATACAAATAAACGCATGGTCCAAAGCTCATCTCTTCCGCTCGGCACGCGATGCCAAACATACTTAAACAAACAAATCAAAGATCACGAGTAATTAAGACAGCCATCACGTCGGGCAGCTGTACGAAGGGGGCTCAACAAAAAATTGAAGTATTCCTGCCACCTCCATCACATCCAACCCCCCACGCATTTCGCAAAACGTTCTGTCATACTCGTCCTGCTCTCCACAGCTGCAGTCGCGTCCTCGGAACGGATGTATCTACGCATGATCTCCTTTGTCTAATCCCCCCACACGTCGGTTGTCGGTTCGGTCTATCGGCATCGTCGCAAAGGATGTAAAAAAAATATCAACTCTGGTCTGCTACTTTGCCGATTCGCACTCGCAACCCCCGCTAGATTTCCTTACTGCATTTCGCTGCGACGGTTTCACAGTTACATGGTGCAAGCTCTGGCACGGTACATTTTTTTAGTTCCCTGTCCGCCCAAAACTGTTGTGGGTAGTGCTTCGCGGATGTGCCAACATTGCCACTTCTCGCTGATCCCCCGTGAGCCCCAGCACCACGAACGAATAGTGGAGTGGAGGGCAGCTGCTCCGGCAACTGAAATCCCTCCGACGCCTCCAGAGCCCAAGGTCAAGCAAGACCACCAGAAAGGCCTCTGACGGTGCCTCCTGATGGGGGCGTCTTGACCTTGGAAAGGTTGTGACGTGATTCTCGTGTTCACGTGCTCGTGGTGCCTGTCAACGTCACCGGTACATGGTCATGGAAGGCATCTATGACCACAAAAGCAAGAGGCATACCTCGAGAGGGACTACTTCGGGACACCCACTTCGCAAGCTGGTCATGGTGAAAATACTAGCGTTCACTGATCTAAGCAAAAAACATGATAACATATTCGACAAGAAGGGGGTGGCACTCACGTTTTCAGTGCGCTGCCCCTGGAGTCTGGCCGTCTCCAGGAAGATGGGAATCACTTTGCTCTTGCTCTCCTCCATGAGCGACACGGCCTTGCTCCATTCCAATGCAAGGCTGTCGAAGTCTAGCGAACACTCCCTCCCCGCCGGATCGCCGGATCGAAAACCTCAACCACAGTCACCGAAGTTTGATTTTTTAGCGGCACTGCTCACCGGCATGTGCGGCACCTGCCTTTGAATTTGTTCTAGGGTGGCGGCCGACCCCGTTGGCTCGAGGACCGGAACCACCTCTCCCGCAGAGAGGGGATGGTGCCGCTCTCCGCCCCACTCAACATCTCCTCGACCGAATGCGCTGCCCATCCAATCATGTTTGGTGGGTAAATGCTCAGGACAAACCTACCCCACCCCTCCGTGTCACCGTGCGCTAGTTGGCAGCCATTGGCATCCGCCTTGCCGTAGAGCTTGGAAGTCATTCCTGTGATGAAAAATAATGTGGCGGTACGGGATAGGCTTTGTGTTGGTGGTGCGAAAACCTTAAGTCATCGGGGAGAGTATTTGAAACACAACCTTGATCGGCTACGGCCACTACTTGTAGAGGTGTGGAACCGGCGCACGACAAGAGAATCTGGACGGCCTCGAGCATCAGTTGGTCGCAGAGCGGCAGCAGAACCGGCAGCAGAACCGGCATATATAGACGCGTACAGTGCCGTGCTAAAGGAGCGGGCCCGACGCGACAGATGGTGGAGCCAAGGGAGATCCAAGGTTGCCACACTCTGTTGGCAAGGAGGGCGCAAGAAGTGGAGCCGTTTGGAGGCAAACTTCGTTACGCCTCCCGAGCTCTTTCATTCCGGGAGCTAGACGGCGTTCAACGGCTCGGCGCGGAGTCCGTGGCATGCTCGGCCGGTGCGCGTACGGATTTCAAAGATTGTGCCGTGGTGCTAACTAGTTGATGTTATGCTGCGGCTGCCGTATATCATATGTTGCGGATGCTACTATTTACAGCATAGCCACACATTTATGGCCGCCGGACATGATGTGTATGCATCTCTGGAGGCGTGCTTGCAACTGCTGCTCCATGGGTCACGTACATTTTGACGCTCGATTCCTAAACAATAAATCATGTATCGGTATTTCGCAACAATAGAAACTAAAGGCAGAGAACTGTCGAGGACTAAACAAGAAACCTTGTCTCTAATGTCTCTAAACACTCATCTCCATCACGGAGAAACGGTGCTTCACATCATCTTAAAGGGGTGTGGAATTTGGCGCCATGTACTGCGCACGGTCTACGACACTGAAAATAGTGCATCAACAACGATATTTGCCGCTACGAAAATACAGCACCGGGTGCATGTACAGCAGATTGTAGTACACAGCAGAGACAGCGAAACAAGCGTTGGACGGTCAACATAATTGAGTACAGCAGCAAGACGGCCTTGGTATCTTTGTTGAAGTACAGGCACGGCGGTTCATAAGGCAGAGATGCGTGTACAGCAGTACCGTCGTCTACAGCAGTACATATTACGTCCAGCAGCAGTACGGCGGCAGTACTGCTGTACATTATACATGTATGCTGACAATGAACAATTTTCTTTGCAGGAAAGAAACAGCAGCAGCAGCAGTATCTATGGGTACAAGAAGGCAGTACCAGCAACCACGGGGACAGTCAGTACGGTTAACAAGCCAGTACCAGGAGCTGCAACCTTGGCTGTGCGTCTACGCAGCAGTTGTAGCAGAAAAGGATATCTCACGTCGGGCACCGCCGCTGCTGCAGGCCCCTGTTGATGGCCGGCCACGTCACCACCATCCTCCTCCTCCAGACGAAGCTGGGTGTTGCGAGGACGCGCTCCACCATCACCCGCAGGCGCCTGACCACGCTTGTCTGTTGACCCTGTCTTCGACCACTCGCCGCTCCTTGTTGGTGGCGCTCTCCGGCCGGGTGCGAGCGACCCCGCCCCAGGGTTGCTCTCTATCGGTCTACTCCCCTTCCCATGGACGCGCCCGCGGCCTACGCTCGTATCTGATCTCCCATCGCCGTGTACCACACCACAAGCACCCTCTCTGCTTGTATGCATTGGTCTCCTGGTTGCCCTGTCTTGGCTCTGTAGCACTTCTATGGAGCGGAGTTCAAGTCAAGGTGCGAGTGGCAGGTAGCCGAGAGCCGAGAGCCGAGAGGTTCGAGGGCGTCGCCGCGCCCCCCTCGACCCCCTCGACTGCGATTGCGAACCAATCTGCCCCCCAATTCCACTGCTCATTGGCTTAGCCTTATGGGAGCCTTATGGGAACACCCACACGGAGGCCGTATTTTTTTGGTTCTCGATGCAAAATACAGGCCTCTGATTGGTTTAGCCTTATGGGCACCAGGTAAGACCATGGGGGTGCGGCCATATTTTCAGGGGGAGATAGATGTGGATTGAACGCGTCGCCATGGGCATGATGGAGTTCTTCCACACCAAAAATAAACGGGGGCGGGGGGGGGGGGCTCTCACAGCACCAAGCGCAAATCGCCGTGAGGTATATATATGTTCGACGAGTCGCATGGAGGGTGCGCTGCAACCTCATCTTGTTTGTGCTTACTTCTCTTGCTTGCTTACGGATGACAGCTGCGAATGTTAACCCTATTTTCTGGTGCTTTTACTTGCAGAGACCGTCATAAAAGCCCTAAAAAAGCTACCTCTGACAAATGCCTCGAGGGTGCATGGACCAATTTTACCCCAACCAGTGGTGCGAGCATCCTTTTCGCGCGGAGTTAAGGTTCTCGACCCCGCACAACATTATTAATCTACTCGACACCATTCATTACTTGTTGGTGCCAAAACAAAAAAAAACACACGGGCAAAAAAGAAGCGATAAGGAAGCGGACCAGCACCGTCCCTACCCATTGAAAGATGACAACACCAAGCGGGAAACTCTGTAGACTGCAGCAGTATCTCTGCGACATCATCTCGTCCTGTGCATTGATTGCATCCCCACCTCGGCGGTAAATAGCTACATACATACAGTATAGTTGAAGGCCCACAAGCAAAGCCGAGAAGAATCGTGTCTGTCTCTGTTCACCGGATTTTTAGAGACATCTATCTATCTACCATAACAGATACATGGTGCTAAACGGCCACCGGTTACGCTGCGCGGCGAAGATGCTCTCAGAGCACAGGACATTTGCTGGGGTGAAGGACGGGTGGGTGTGACAACCAACTGTCGTTTTCCTATCCATCCATGTATGTGTAATATGTATGGATCCGCGGATTTGACTGTTGAAACAGTCTAAAAGGTCAGAGAATCTTTAGTTGAGCGTGAAACATGCCGCGCCCCAACGCCCCCCCCTCCTCCATGCGCCATCTCGCTGCTCGTCAGTATCATACAGCAGTCATCACAGAAAGATAGTACCCCCCAATGGAGGGAACATGCATGCGTTTGAGTTCTTCATAGCCGAACACCTACATGTAGAGGATACATACCCACCGCAGGCTCCTCTACTCAAAAGTCTACCCATTATTAGGCGACACATCGTGGCTGGTGGATACACGCGGAACGTGGATTTTATCTTGTAGTCGTAGAAGATCCGAATATTTTCTTAGCGTGCCCTCGGCCTGCCTCTCGGTCATTTTTTACCAGGATTGTTGGAAGTTTTGGAGGAGAGAGCAAAGACGAGCGAGAGAGGCACCTACTACATTGTCCATCCAGCAAGCAAATAAAGAGCGCGTGTGTGCGTCCCTGCGCTTGCTTGCTGTGCGTCCTGGTTCCCGTTGGTGAAGCCGCTTGCCGTTGTCCACACCCCACTCGCGGGCTTTTTGTGCGGTGGTGAATGCCAAACATTCCGGCACAACGGGCGCTTCTTTTCTGGCTGACAAAACTTCATCTGCACACGTTTCCTGCCGGTTGCGGGTGTGTGTGCCTATCTACAGGCGGGTAGACAACCAAGCAGCAACAAGCGCTCCAGGTGGCCTCCCTGTCTCCTTCCCTCAAATTGATTGTTGTTGTGGAACTGCTGTAACAGCAGTTGTAGGGGGGCGGGAGCACTTACTACACTGCTGTGGCTTGCGTGCGCTGCCAGAGGCCCGAGCGCTGGAATAATAGGCGGGGCTGACTTTTTTGCTGACGGCGGAAGAGCATCAGCGAGAGAGAGTCGGGGTCGGTGAGGCAATAAAACCTGCTGCTGCGGCTGCTGCGGCTGCTGCTGCTGCTGCTGATCGACGGGAGGGGCCGGTGTGGCAGGCAGTATGGAAGAAGCAAGCCGCCCTCCCGTGCAGCGGATGAACTCGATCTCCCTCAACGTGGATGGGCTCATAGAAGAGCTTCTCTCTGTCCGAGGTGAGCCAGAATCCTCCTCTACCCCTCTGGAGTCCCAAGCAGGTTGCTGCTCTCGGCGGGAATAGATGCTATTAATATTGCTGTTCAACCGGGAAAGTTGCTTCATTTTTTTTTTCGGAGAACGAGAAAGGCGAATGGAACGATAAAGAAGTCAACCATCATGAATGAAGCACTTGCGTACGGCGGTGCGCGTGCAACCACCCCCACACAAGCACCGAGCTGACCCCCTTAGCATCGTACGCATAGCAGTCCGCGGCGGAGCCGCTTCAACACGCTTTGCCTGCCGTCTCTTTGGGTGTGTGTGTGTGCCATGTTACAGCCAGCAGCAGCGCAGTCACATATTTGACCGTGTGCTGCTGCCGGCCCTTTCTCTGCGTGTCGGATGGAACTTGGCCAGCAGGTACCTTCTTGGATTTTTCGGTGCGACAACGAAGTAACTTTTCGGCCTTATCTCACTGCTGCCTGGCACGAACAGCGGTATTTGACCATTCCCCCAGCGTTCTCCCACTACTACGCGACTCTGTTTGACGTTTGGAGTTGGCGGAGGAGGCTGCTCTATCGCCCTCTTTTTATTTTGGCACAACCAACAAGTCGTGGGTTTATTTGCGGCATTCGCAAAATTTGTTCTGTTTTTTGGTTGGCGCTGTTGCTTCAAATTCGTCGATGATGATGCCGCACTCGCGGTACACACGCGCAATGCCTACCATGCCGACACGCTCGCGTGGCATGTACGTATGCTCGTGCCTTTCCATGTCGGAGGTCGCACGCGGAAATAGCCATGTCTTTGCACAGACTACCGCTGTTTCGGTGTAGGCACGAGGAGAGAAGAAGTACACATCGATCGCTCTTCTTTTTTTTTGTCGCTCTGCTCTCTGACGGCCACACACCACATCATCATCCTCGCGGACCACACCACGTTGTGCCTCCCACACTGTAGAAGGCCAGAGGTAGAGGTCGGCCAGTTCTGGGCTGCATCGTCATCCGTATGTATTGTAAAACACTTCCAACATACCTCCTAGACAGAGAATGGCTCATGTTTTCTTCGAGTGCATTGTGTGTGTGTGTGTGTGTGTGTGTGTGTGTTTTTATTATTAGGATCGACCGCGCTAACCGGCTGACCAATGAAAAGACGTCAGTCTTAGTGCGGTTGAAAACACAAAACACTTCTATCTGCCATGAACTCGGACCCCGTGAGGGGGCAGCATGGGGGAGGCTAAACTATCCTTCGGATCAAAGACAGAAACAACAGCAACAGAAGAAAACCGGACGCGTCTACCAAGGCTATTACCTTGTACTCTAGTGTGTGTGTGTGTGTGTGTTGCGTGGCAAAGTGGTGGTCTCCATATCGGAACACTCTTTGTGTATCTGTATGCACAGCAGTAAATGCGTATGTCCTTACGCTCTCTGCTGGCGGGTCACGTATGTCTGTACATGTACATGTACACATACCGGAAAATCCATATCCATGTATCCGTCCCAGCAGTACCTGTACTCTCACCTATTCCACGGACGGTGCACGAACCTCACATTTGAACCGGTGTGTTTGGGATAAAGGTTTTCTTTCACTACTTACATACTGCTGTTAGGAGGTTTCCAAATCGAACCAGGATGCGAGCAAGATTGAAGAAACCGCGTTGGCATTCGAGGAGGTCGCCGCTCCATTATTGTACGCATACAAGAGACTGCAGGTGGTATGTGCTGCTGTACAATCGTATATGCATAGATTATGCGTGGAGGGTTTCTCCCCAATTATTTTTGTGGCTGACCCAGCACCTGCTGGCATCACTGCTAAATATTCAGTGTAGACTACATACGCTATCTTTACCAAATAACTAGTCTCGAAATAAGCCCAGTATTTGTACCCAGCCGGTTTCCCTCCACTCACTGCAAAGACTCCAACACATCCCCTTCGACTTGTACTGCTGTGGTTATATGGTTATATCTCGAACGGTATGACTAGACTAGTCTATCTAAGTTTGGACTCCAAAACATCGACGGAAGACTGCCCACTCGGAATTGCTGTGAGCTCACACAAAACAATGCGGTGTTACGTCTATAATTTCGTATTTTCACGGTATTCCCGCCGTATGATCCCGTGTGTATCGGGCAAACCACAAAAAAATGAAAAAAGCTCGTGTCTGTGTGTGTCCTTCCTCTTGTGTGGTCCCGGCTGATACGTCAGGTACATACGCCCAAAGGTCTGTAAATTGGCGCCATGATAGATGGGGACGAACACACCGTAGTAAGAGCAGATGCTCAGTCGAGAAACAAACCTGGTACAAAATACCTTGTGCATTCAACCTCTATGCCGTAAGGATGCGAGAGATGGCACCCCCCCCTGGACCGATCTTCGAGCCTCGGTTGCTCCACTATCAGGCTTGTGCCAACACCAAGAATGAATGGTGGTTTTGGAAACGCCTCGTCGAGGTTTTTTTTTCCGTAGACGTGTATCGGGCTCTTCTCCGCACCCGCTTGTTTGTGGAGTAATCGAGGTTTAAAAGTCGGTCCAGGGGGGGTGCCATGTCTCGCATCCTTGTTACGGTACATGCCCCTCTGGGTTGCATGTATGTTTGCATGCCCCCCCAGAGAAAATAGAATGTACACGATCCTCGGGCACAAACAAGCAGATTAGAGGTTCCAAGTGCAGGCACGTTCTTGTAATGGATGCGCGCATGGGGTTGGGCGACTTTTTTTTTTTTCCGTCAAGTAATGTTTGAAGTCATTTTATAGATGCGTATGTATGTCGTAGGTGTTGGCGACACGTTCGCTGAGAAGGGAACACAGCAACAACAGGCGCACGCACTCATTCAAAGTCTCGGCAACACCCAGCGTGCAGCATGCAGCACACAGAGGAGAAAGGGCCCTGTGGGTCATAAAAGCCAGCACCTACTTCTATGACGCAGAGCAGTAGCAGATGGAGCAGCAGGTGCAGGAAACGAAGCAGCAGCTTGAGCTCATGATCGCCAGGCGCGAGCCAACGCAAACCAACAGATAGGAATAGCACATTCGGGCCGTCAACACTCCCCGTTGTTTGTCAACTCTGTGTTTGCTAAGCACAGTCGCAGCTAGAGTTGAGGGGCAGGGGGGATGCCCACGATTTCCCTCAGGTTTGAGCTGTTCGTCCCCCCCCCCCCCTTCTGGGCCGGCGAAAACCCGGCATTTTAGGGATGCGAGCTCGATGGTCTTACGGACTACGGCATGCGTTTACTTGAGTACCCCCCCCCCTTCCCCATCAATGGTCTAACGACTACGGCATGCACGACTATGAGTACACCCCCCCCCCCCCTTCCCCATCCCCACCGAACGCCCCTCCTCCGTGGTGGTTGCCGTCGTGCTCGCTCTCTACTCCACACTTTTTTGCGTCCCTCAAGGTAAAGGCCCAGCCAGGCAGGTTAACCTGTACGAAGATGACATCCGATCGCTCTGCCTGGTGGCGCGAGACGTGTTCCTGGACCAGCCGTGCCTCCTTCAGTTGGCCACTCCCATGAAGATCTGCGGTATGTATGTGTTTGACGTATGCATAGATGCTGTTGCACATAGGATTGCAGTTGTTTTTTTTTGGGGGGGGCGAAAGGTATTCGACGTGTCTGCTTTGTCTCTGGCTCTGATTCAGTTGTAAGAATGGAGGGAGTAAAGAACGAAGCCAATGGGCGGGGGCGGGCGGGGGGGGGGGGGGATCTGTACCCTGGTATGTGGCGTTGGCGTTCTCAGAAGGCGGAGAGCGTGGTTAGTTGGTTCTCGAACAGAAACCACCCTTTGTAGTCGGCCGGTGCATGTTTGTGGCAGGGAGCCTTGTCCCCAGCAGCACCCTCCACCAGGACGGACATGCGGAGGCAAACCGGTTCGCCCATCCAGACTTACGGTTACTCGTCGTCTTGCGTATGAGGAGGCAAACCCTCCGCATGCCGCCTCTGAATGTGCACGTACCAAATCCATAATTGGGTGGTACGTCGCCTCTATTTTTGGAGTTGTGTATTGTTTGCTTGCTCATGGAGTGTGGGTAATTTTTTTCTTGTCTCCGCGTGTTTTTTTTTTTTGTGAAATACTTCTTGCCGGTCGCAGGTGACATCCACGGGCAGTACTACGACCTCCTCCGGCTGTTCGATCACGGTGGCCACCCTCCGCATTCCAACTACCTCTTTCTTGGGTGAGAGGGGTTGGTCTGTTCTGCGGGGTGGCCTTATATGTGTCTCGGCCTGTTCCGTGTAGATATGTAGGTCGATCCAAGCCCAAAAGGTTTGCTGTGCAGGGGTTTTGGAGCACGATCGCCGTCGACAATTAAGAAATCGAGTAGAGGCAGGCGTTTCCTGCCACGTCATCTGAGGTTGCCGCGGCGAATCGGTATGATCCTAAGCTGCTTCTAATTTTTCTTTGTCTTTCCCACGTCTAAAATCCCCGAGGGATTTTTCCCCCGGCTTAAGGTCGACCGCGGCTGTAGCTGCCCCCGTCTTCTTGCCCGTCGATTTAGACGTTTATGTTGCCTGTATGGTACTGCATGCATCACGCTTCTTGTCCGTGCAGCTGCAGGGGAAACACGACTTACGGCGCTGAAGTTTCCTGTGCCTTTTTTCAAAATTTTTCGCCCGTCGCTGCCGCGTGTTTGTGTGTGTGTTGCTTCTTTTTTCCAGGGACTACGTGGATCGGGGCAAGCACAGCCTGGAAACGATCTGCCTGCTGCTGTGCTACAAGGTCAAGTACCCGGCCAACTTCTTCCTTCTGAGGGGCAATCACGAGTCGGCCTCCATCAACAAGATGTACGGCTTCTACGACGAATGTGAGAGCGAGAGCAAGGGGTGTACAGCAGTATTATCGTAGTGTCGCCGGCGGCGGCGATGGTGTCGTCGGTGCAGGCGGTGTGTGTCTGTTCTTTGCCGCTCGTCGTCGTTGTTGTTGTTGATGGTTTCAGGTGTGGTGTTGGCTGTAGTGTTTATTACGCCCTTGGCGCTGCTACGAAATCGTCTCCGACCTGGATCCCATGTTTGGCCTGCGCACCCGGCCGTCTCGGGTGGGGCGGGCACGGCGATTGGACAATCAGCACCGCCTATCCCTTTTCGTTTGCGGCGCCGCTCGTCGCGCGTGCGTAGAGCCAGAGGGCTGTTAGGGAAGCGAGAGCTTCAGAGGTTCGTTCGTAGCGACCTCCTCGAACCGCTAGCAACTCAAGAGCTGGGCTTTCCGTATATTGTGTCGGCCCGTCCCGTGTGACCGGCACGAGTTCGCATACCCAGGGGCTCTTGCCCCCGCATAAACGGTTGGCACGGCGGGGGGATGGTTGGTGCGGCCGGTCTCTCGGGCCGAACGATAGCAGCTCATAGCCTCTCCTCGGAGCATGAGCGCCGGTGGGCGTTTGGTTTGGGGTGTCCAGCCGGCTGCGGCAGATAGGCGTCGTGTGGCTGGGTGGCCTCTGCCCCTCCCCGCCCCCACCCCGTCCAGCCCCGGCACGGTGAGCACGGAATGGCCGCAGCCGCCGCAGCAGCAGCAGCCGCCGCCGCCGCCGCTTGCTTCTTTTTCGGCTGACGATTGTGCCGATGCATTCTGGAAGTTCCTCTCCCCCCCCAAGCCTCTTTTCCCCCACCAATCGCTCGTCGCTCAATATACCGAGAACAGCTGGCTGCGTAGGGAAAGTGAGTCCTCGACAACAGTGTCACGGACGAGAAACACGTCTCCTTTGGCTTTGTCTTGTTTTGTTTTGTTTTTATGTCCGCGCGTGCGCGAGAATGGTGCGCGCCCCTACCTCTTTGTCTCCCTCTCTCCCACACACACACATACACAGTTTCCCCGTCGCTTCCTCTCTGTCTCAGGCAAGCGCCGGTACTCCACCAAGCTCTGGAGGACTTTCACGGACTGCTTCAACTGTCTCCCCATAGCCGCCATCGTGGACGACAAGATTTTTTGCGCCCACGGCGGACTGTCACCGGAGCTTTTCGACATGGAGCAGATCAACAGGGTCTCGAGACCGACGGATGTGCCAGATACAGGTGAGAGGGCGGGGGGCGGGGGGGGGGTACTCATGGCCGTGCATGCCGTAGTTGTTAGACCAATGACCTCGCAGCCCTACAAAGCCGAGTCACCACCGCAGCCTCGATTTATCCTTAAAACCTGGTATGAAATTAGCTAGACCCCCTCCGAGTGTTGGTGTCTGTATCGAGCTTTGGGCCGCCAGCCAGAGTTGGGAAGGCCTAAAATATACTGATCGAGGAGGGGGGAAGGTTCAGATTTTTCCTCGACTTAGGGGAGTTCTAGTTCGTTCGGTCGATTGTTATTCCGCCAGAGGTCACTTGACTTGATGCCCCAAGCCTCATTTGCGTGACAAGTATTAATTGCGATTGATCTGCCTTTGTCGAGATTATGTTAATGTTTGGGTGTCTTTCTCTTCGTAACCCCGCGTACCGGAGGGCGAAACACACGCGCAGCATCTCCGGAGAACCTCTCACCGAAGCTGGCGCATTTGCAATTTTGATTGGGCCTCCATCAACTAGACCTTTTTCTGCTGCGATATTGATGACGTAGTCTTTGTCTACACATGAACGTACGCGATCGCGCGCTTGGTTTTTTGTTCGCCGTCTGACAGGTTTGCTGTGCGACCTGCTTTGGTCGGATCCCGACCGCGACATCATCGGGTGGGGAGAGAACGACAGAGGCGTTTCGTTCACGTTCGGAGAAGACATCGTCAGGGACTTTCTCGCCACGCACGACCTCGATCTGATCTGCCGAGCCCACCAGGTGACCATGCGGTAGCTCTTGTGCCCCGTAGGCTGTGTGCCGTAGTCTGCTATTAGCTGTGACCAGGGGGTGCGTGGGGGGGGGGGGAGGGGGAGGGGGGGGTACCTCCCAGGGTGTGTGAAAATGCCTCCCCCCACCGGCCCGTCCCCCATATTCTAAAGACTACCCGCAGTGTGTAACCAGCACCCCCGGGAAACCAAAATCCCCAGGAGCGGGGGGGGGGGGGAAAAAAAAAACCCAAATTTTCCAAGGGCCCCGAAAAAGGCCCGGAAAAACGGGTGGGGGTTTTTTCCCCCCGCCCCAAAAAAGAAATATTTTTCTTTGGCCCCCCGGGAAGCCGGGCCAAGCCTCCAAAAAACCCCCCCCCCAACCCCCCTGCTAAGAAGTTTTCCCCCCCCCGGAAGGGCCCTTC